TTGATTCTTTGGAAATTACACAATTGAACTAAGTTGGGAATCAACTAGACTAATATAATTTGATTTATTCTTGTAATTGTGTCTGCTCGCACATTGGGACAGTACAGGCTCTAGACTTTGGAGATATAAGTTGTTGTGCATGAAGCCAGATTAGGCAATCAAAAAAAGAGGCGTTTCAATAATGATCTCTAAGGATGTTGCATTCGAATATATAATTCATGAGTCAGATATTAATGGAATATACATAATTTTCATCTGTAAACTAAATGATGGTAAATTTCTACACCCTTAATGGATTTCCTTTAAAATTTTGTAATTTTGTAATTGAAAACGTGGAAAGATATTCAAAAGGAGTCTTGGTAATTGGGGGCGACTTAAATTGTATTGCCAATATTAATTTAGATTAAAAAAATAATGAAAGGAAACAGGTTAGATAATAGAATTAAATTCTCTGCGGAAGAATTTACTGAATCTCTGCATAGGTATAACTTATACGATATATGGAGAACACAACATCAGTTAGAAAGGGCTTATAGTTTTTTCGCGAACAGGCACCTATCGTATTCAAGGATAGATTTTTGGATAACGAGATTTGATAGTATTAAAATATTCAAATCCTCAAACATTGGAAGAATTAGCTGGTCGGATGATGCCCCGGTCTTCTGTGAAATTGAGAATAATCTACATAAAAGAAGTAGATCAGATTGGAGAATGAAGAATTATAATTTGACGTCAGACAATGCAAAGCATAAGCTCATAGAAGAAATTCACCAATTCTTGGCTTTTAATGATAATAATGAGATCTCGGACCCAACCTTGTGGAACGCTCTCAAGTGCACAGTTAGAGGTTATTTAATTAAGAACAGTATCCTTATTAAGAAGAAGTTGGGGAGATCAATTTCAGGTCTATATATCACTCTAGCTAAACAAGAAAGAACTAATAAAATATCCATAAATAAAAACACAATTGAACAAATTATTAGCACTCAAAAAGAAATTAGAAAGAAACTAGATGAAAGATATAAAAAAAACAAATCTCAAATTAAAACAGAAATGGTATCACTGCAATAACAGAGCAAATAAAATTATTACCAATAAATTAAAGCAAAAAATAGAAAGAATTCAAATTCACAAACTAATAGTTAACAATAAGATTGTATTAGATGCAACCTAAATTGCAGAAGCTTTTAGGAACTTCTATAATTCTTTATATAATATCAAACATAATGAGATACCCAAATTAAAAAAAGAAAAAGTTTTTACAAAATTTAAATCTTCCTAGAATAACAGAGGAAAAACTTGAAAGGTTAAATCAGCCCTTTTCATTGGGGAAAAAAGCAATTGGGGCTTTAAAAATGGGGAAATCGCCGGGCCCGTATGGATTTACAGCAATGTTTTATAAAATAGCGGACCCTGCGATCTCACCGTTATTGCTGAGAATGTGCAATGAGTTTGGTGAAAAGGAGGATATTCCCAAAGAGATGCTTCAAGCCTCAATTTGTCTAATACCTAAGGACGGGAAAGACTCAGAGTTAATTTTAAATTCTAGGCCTATATCTATCATAAACGTAGAAATATTAATAAAATGTTCTCTAAAATTCTTGCAGATAGGTTGGGGAAAGTGATCCCAGATAATACATGAAAGTTAATGAATCTAGTGTGGGAGGTGCAACGGAAGGCTTTCGACAGAGTTAGTTGGTATTTTTTTTGTAAACGATGGAATCTTTTGGGATTAGAGGATTATCCAAAAATGATTCCATGGCATTGCATAGTAATCCAAGTCCCTTCTTCAGCTCATCGTTTTTCAATGTTCATAATGGCACTAGACATGGGTGCCCCTTATCCCCCTTGCTTTATGCTCTTTACATTGAACCTTTAGCCTCGATGATAAGACAAGCGGAGGAGATAAGGGGCATTGTAGTGAATAGAAAGGATTTAAAAATAACATTGTATGCAGATGACATACTTCTTACATTAACAACACCTGATACATCCATCCCCGCAGTCATAGCGATTATTAGGGAATATGGATATTACTCTAATTACAAGCTGAACCTACATAAAACTCAAGTTATAAGTAAAGGGCTATCAGGCCATCAAAAGCAAGAGTTACAAAGCAAATTCCAGTTTTGCTGGGAAAGCGATCAGATAGATTATTTGGGTATAAAAATAATGCTGGAGCTTGAAAGATATATACCAGTAAATTATAAATTACTAATTCAGAATCTTAATTTGCAAATAGACACAATGAAAAAGGTAGAGGCTTCATTTTTGGGTAGAGTAAACATTGTGAAAGCATATTTGGTTCCAAAGGTCTTGTTTTTGGTTAGAATGATTCCACTGCAAGAACCAGGTACTATCTTCGAGAAAATGTAAAAAATATTTCTCTCATATATCTGGGAAAACAAGAAACTGCAAATAGCATATAATGTTATTAAAAAAGATAGTACTCAATTTGGGTTGGGCTTTCTGGATCTTTGTGTTCTACATGATGTAACTATGTTTTCACACCTGATTGCATGGTGCTTGGAGAAAAATATGTTAACTGGCTGGTTTCATTGTGAGAGATATCGGATGGGAAAACTAATTCCCTCCCACTTGTACGGAATTAAGCCTTCTGGGGCTAGACAATTTAAGTTTTCAAACCCTATTATTATCGATGCAAATAAAACGGGGGCAATGGTGAGAGCAAAGATGGGTATTAAAGAATATATTACTCAGGATACACTGATAATTTGACCTTAACCAGTACATTGAAGATCTAGATTTATCAAGTTGGAGTAGTAAAGGAGTTAATAGAGTGGCTGATTTGTGTTCGGAAGGAGAGATTGTATCTTTTGAAGCTCTAAAAAGAAAAACTGATTTAGCTAATCGAGATATTTTTATTTATCTAAGATTGAAAAACTTCTTAAAAACCATTTCACCCAGACTCTCATAAAACGCATTTTCCACAGAGCACCAGACCTGAACCCATGGACATTTCTCCTCAATAGACCCTTAGACAATTGGACACGTAGAGAGCAAAAACTCTTACATAAGGTGACACTGGCAGCACGGAGAACTCTGGCGCAAGCATGGTTGAAGGTAGAAACACCTCCCCCGAGTGCAGTTATACATAATATAAAGGACATACACCTTATGGATAGCCTAACGGCTAAGGTCCGAGGAACTGTGTCACAGTTCGAGAAAACATGGGAGCCATGGACCACTAGCGACTTGACTGGAGAAACCGCTCAATAATAGGACAGGACGAGCACTACGCACCCACACTGGACCAACCCTAGAGGAGTTCCTCTGGGACTGAGACGAAAACCCTGGGTGGACTGGCGCCGATGCCCTGTGCTCTGGTGACCCTAACCTACTGCCTTCCCTCTATCTCTGTCTCTTCTAGTCTCTCTCTTCTCTAGCTCTACTGGTTATGGGGAAAATGGAACAACCCCAACGCTCCACGATGCAAATCATTTAGTTGACACATCATACTGTTGTAAAATGAGACAACGACGGCATACTGCCAAGCTGGCCTGCCGGCCTCTTCCTTTTCTAAGAGGCACTAAAACTTGGATTAAATATTTGGCATTGCGCCACACGTAACGCAGGATAGGCATGGTTCATTATGCACTTATCGAAAATAGTATACCTCTTTCTCCAGCACTACACACACCTAATTAACAGCTTCTGGAAGGACCCCTTTGGGACAGAGATAGTACACCTGGGCTAACTGGCACTAGCAGCTTATGCCCTGATGACCCCATTCTTCTACCTTTCCTCTATCCTCATTCTTTCCTATTTTTCTACTTACTCCTTCCACTAGTTACTGGGACTGTGGGACAGCCCCAAAGTTCAAAGTTGAAAATTAAGTTGTGACAACATAATAATATTAAAGGTGAGGAGATGAAGGCATCATGACAAACTGGACTGCCGACTAACTTACCTGTTACAAGGCGCTACACTGGGCTTACACACTGAGCATCGTGCCTTCCATAACGCAACACTGGCAATGTCTATTTTATGCTTTGAATATGTCATATGTCTTTGTCTTTGCTTTGTTATTCTTTCAAAAATAAAGTTTTCAAAAAAAAAAAAACATTTCAGTTCCACCACCAATGAAACTGGATGAGTGTCATGATCTTGTGCAGGTCAGGGATGAGACTGAAACTGAGGTTAATTTCAGGGTCTTTATTTGTTATCTTAGACATTCTAGTAAGAACAGGATATCCTATAATTGTAGTTATAGGAAAGAAAGATAATGAACAGAACAGAATGTCTGAATTACAGGGAAGTAACTAGTCTATGAAATAAAGGATTTAGACATCATAACATTTTGTTCATTATTGAAAATGACAAAGACGATGTATCCAGGAGTATAAGAGACATCTTAGAATAGATTGCACACTTTTATATATTAGCCAAGCTGCCAAAACACAGCGCTACTATAAGATAACAGGAGGGTGAACAAGGTAAAATGCAGACTCGAAGCACTGGTTGCATAACTGTAGAATTAGAGTGCTCAAGAGAAAACATATTCCAGCCCAACCAATGTGAGGTCACACTAAGAAAAATTGTAATACAGAGCTGGGTGCTTAACTGAAAGTTAAAATTATATCGCCCTGGGGACCCCAGCTCTTATACATGAGGTGATAGCTGCTCATCAGTAATAACACTAGCCAACAGGGTAAGATAAACAATAATAGAAAGAAAAATAAAAGTGGTGGATCATATGGTAAAAAGGGGAACTTGGTTAAGGTATGGCATCATTATCAGCAAAAGTCAGCCGAACCCCTTCAGAGGTAGGACAGCCCTGCTGTCGTCTGGCTTCCGGTATGCACCATGACTCTAGTGGTGGCTGGTGTGATGTCCAGGCTTCACTACCATTCAGGCCTGGCGATGGTATTGGTAGCACCCGCTATGTGTCCGTGTTCCGGGCCACTACTTGAGCAGGTCCGCGAGGGCCGCAGCCTTTCTGTGTGCGAAACACTGCGACCGCTTTACCATGCTGCCCATTAAGCTGCCGCCTTTCGTAGGTCCGCTCTCTGACTGGAGCTGACAGTGAGCTCTGGGGAAGTCGTGCACTCCTCCCCCGTCTGACAAGCTGTCGCAGACATCAGTCCAACATGTCCAAGAAGTCCGTGAAGAGCTGCTTGAGTTTGCAGGTAAGCTCTCTGCTGCTGTCTGCTGGACATGAGGCATCCGCCATTTTTAAGAGAGGGTTCCTGTTCATTACCAGAATGTAATAGCGGTTTTAGGAGCATGCAGCCCCCAAGGCGAGGACCGGGATCACCCCCACCGGTAAGGATTACTTTCTATTACTATTTATTCCACATAGATTAGACCCAATTTATTTTTATTCTATTTATTTTAGAATTTTTAATCTGCATTGAGAACACAAATACCAGGTACAGTGGTAAAGGTACAGACTTTTGAAGAGGTAGAAGAATACCAAACTAGTGCCTGTAAAATACCCAAAATAATTCCATTGTTTAAAAATAAACATACAATATACCATGATTCTGAAGTTAACTGTGATAATAAACGTGTCACATGTGACACATCCACTTTCAATAAAAAGGCTTTTATTACATTTCTTTTTAGAATTAAATTCTACTTTCATAGACATCAGAAGGAGTAAAAATAAAAATGTAAAAATAAAAAATAAAAATCCAACCCATTTATATATGTATTTCTCTCACTTAGAATTGATTCTGCTATAAAGCTACAATGCTTTGTTTTCCTTACTCTCTGTTACTTTAAGAAGATTTAAAATCCCATAAATAAATATCACTTGCTGTGTGAATATAGATTACAAATAATGAAAACAATGGAGCTTTAGTCTGATTCTTGGTACCCGTAACCAAAAGCAAAATCTCTAGTACAGATTTGATTCCTATAAATTGAATACAATACTCATGGGTCATAATATCTGTAGCCAACCATGTATTTAAAATGACACAATATTTTATACTGTTATAATTGATTGTAGGATAAATAAGTAAAAAACTTTTAAGACTGTTGCAGTTTGTCAAAACTCCCATGACACAATATTTAATATTTCATTTATTGTACATGTTTGTATTAATGAATGTGTATTTGTATGCATATATTTATGATTTTAACTGGCTTAATTATATGCACACATAATAATATTCAAAGACCGTTGTATGTGGACATTATAGTCTGATAATTATATTTGAAAAGCTTTAACAGTATTAAGATAACTGATTAATTTGAGATGACAATTTTCAAAGTTTGGTTGCAACATACAAAAACAGAGAATAGGAGAAACTCTGAGAACACGCAAAAGCTTTGAAAAACTCAATACTTGCCCTTCGGCTAATCCACGTTTAGGTCTCAAACTACGTAGGTTTTATTCACATGTGTCATTACAAAGAGAACCTATACCAAATACATATCAGACTGATTCTGACTATAAGGGCAGTCCAAAACCGAAATGCTGGCCAGGTCCATCTGCACGAAAGATACCGCAACCACGGATAATTGTTTCAGTCTTCTTTGGGCCTCGTCAGCAAGGTGTAGCTGATACCCCTCCGGGCACAGTGAGCACAGGGTCCAAGTTTGGATTACCTTTTGACACAGGGAAAGCCTAAGTAAATGAAACATAGGTAATGTTGTAAAACCCACAGAGAAAATTGGCGGAGCAAGAAATAGTAAATAAAGATATACTTCCCTCTCTTCTTACTGTCTCACTGTAAAGATAGAGAGGTACAAAATAGTGCAGATATCTCTATATATAATATATCAAATGAATATAAATAAAACACACTCACAATGAAAGAGCCATATAATAAACCTGGCTCTGGTATGGATTTCCTTGGGATCTTTATTGGGTGATCCCCAGACCTCTTTGGTGGTGCTTGAAAAGATGTGTTGTTCTCCTTTTCCAATAATAGGCAGTGGAGATATAGTAAATTCAAAAGGTAAATTTATTAAAAATAAAAATGGATAAAAAGAAAGGATACAAATAAAGTCTACTAATCCTTATGTCACGTACAGATTATCCACGTCATATCCGGTTTTGTCTAATTGTATCGGACACAGCCTCAGTGGAATGCAATGCGTTCCATTATCGTTCAGGGTAAATGTACTAGTCCCAAATTAGTCCTTATAAGATATATATAAATGAAGCAGCTGTTTTTAAAAAACAATTTTCGAAATACATAATATACACATATTATAATAAAAGTAAATATACCACAACAGTTGTATTTATAAAAAACAATTCCTACAATACATTGGTTATGCACATTGTAATAAAAATAATTTTCAATAAAAAATATATACTGTATATAAAAAATATGAAAGTGCTTTTTAACTTATAAAATATGTCTTAATTGATTCTTGTATTAGGAAGGAGCGAGAAAAAAAAAGTTCTATATAAAATGCAAAATTAAAAAAATGGATATCAATACGAATGGAATCTAATAATTAATAACCAATATTTACACTAAAAAATGACACAGCTCAAAATCTTGGTTTAAACCATAGGGGATTAAAGTTTTAAAATTATAAATACATTTAATTTCCTCTTCTCCTATCTTTCTATTAAAACCCCCCCTCTCCAGTCTTTTTGTATAAGTTTAATTGCACAGAAGAATGTATTCTTGGGGTCACTATTATGATGTGTTTTAAAGTGATTAGAAACGCTATGTGTTTCTATCCCTCTTTTGATATTCCTTACATGTTCTGATATTCTGATATGCAAACACCTGGTTGTTCTTCCTACATAAATTAGATCACAGGGGCATTTTAAAATATAAATTACATTTTTAGAAAAACAGGTTAATTGGTCTTTGATATAAAACACTTTGTCATCCTGATAGCTGAAAGATAATATATGTCTTTTTTTCTGGCATGTTGTTCTGCAAGCTAAACAAGAGCCGCAGCCATAAAAACCTTTACTCTTATTTAAAAAATGATCTTTCTGCTTTGTTTTAAAACTACTATTTAGTAAAAAATTTTCATATTCCTACAGCCTCTATAAACTATTTTAGGTTCCGATGGTATTATTTGTTTTAAAATGGGATCTTCTTGCAGGATTGACCAGTACTTTTTAATTATTTTCTTAATTTTTCCGTTATTTCCACTATGGTTGCATATAAAGGGTATATTATTTCTATCCTTGTTAGTATTTTTTAATTTTACTCCTTTATGGCTTATAAGATCTTTTCTTTTGATCTTTTTAATTTGTTCCAAAGTCGATGAAAGTTCTTCTTCATCGTAGCCTCTTTGTAGAAATTGTTGTTTAATTACATCCGCTTGTAGTAAATAGTCTGAGTCTTGTGTGCAATTTCTTCTGAGCCTTAAAAATTGGCTCTTTGGAGCATTTTTCAGCCATGGGGTATAATGGCAACTTTTTTTCTCGATATAGCTATTAGCATCTACCTCTTTAAAATGATTCCTAGTGTGAATTCTTGACTCTGTAATAAAAATTTCTAAATCTAAAAAATTAGTATGATGGGTACTATATGTAGAGGTTAAAACAATCCCCCATTTGTTATTATTAAAAAAATTGAGAAATACCCCAAGGCTTTCTTCTCCATCTTTCCATATAAAAAATATATCATCTATGTACCGGTGATAGGTTACCAAGTTCGCCGCATGGTCACTGGGGAATATGATCTGTTCCTCCCAGTAAGCCATGAATAAATTAGCGTAGCTAGGTGCGAACTTGGTACCCATCGCTGTACCTGTGAGCTGCATAAAAAATGAATCCTTAAACCAGAAAAAATTATTGGTTAAAATTAATAAAATGCCTTCCAATATAAAATCTATTTGTGTGTCATTAAAACCGGATTTTTCTAAAAAATGTTTGGTTGCTTCTATCCCTGTTTGATGCGGTATAATACTATATAAGGATCCAACATCACATGTGACTAGAAGATAATGATTTTGCCATTCTATCTCTTCCAAGATCTGGAGCATATGGATGGTATCTTTCAGATACGAAGGATGTTTTTCGACTATCGGTTGTAGAAGAGGGTCTATATACTCTGAATTTCTCAAAGAAACAGAGTCTATCCCTGATATAATCGGTCTCCCCGGAGGGTTGTTTCTATTCTTATGTACTTTGGGTAAATAGTAAAACACCGGGACTTTTGGGTGTGGGATTTGTAAGTATTTTCTTTCCTCTTCTTTCAAAATTCCGAGGTTGAATCCTTTTTCTATATAATTATTGAATTTTGTTTGGATTTCTATACTTGGATTGGTGGTTATTTTTTTATAAGTATTAGTATCCAAAAGGATCCTTTCTGCTTCTGTAATGTAGTTGTCTGTTTTCAAAATAACAATACCACCTCCCTTATCTGCTGGTTTAACAATGAATCTTCTTTCTTTTTCAAATCTGTTAATGCTTTCTGTTCAGTCACTGATAGATTTTTCTGAAATTTATTCATCTTTTTAATACTATGGGCTTCCCTCATAATAATTTTTTCAAACGTTTTCATTTCATCTGAAATCATAAATTTCGGAAAGAATTGTGACCTTTGTTTCAAGTCTGTTTGTATAAATTCTGTATTTATTTCTATATCTACATTAGTTTCTTTGTTAAAAAATAATTTTTTTAGGGATAGTTGTCTCATAAACTTATTTACATCTATAAAAAAATTGAATTCGTTAAAATCAACTGTTGGAGCAAATTTCAAACCTTTTTGTAATATTCTGACATGGTCCTCCTTCAACGGGGCTCCAGTCAAATTAAAAATACCTTCTGTGTCTAGTTCCTTCCTGTTTTCTCTCTGTTTAACGGTACTTCTTCTTCTATTTCTTCTTCCTCCACTGATCTCAGGCGTTTTCCTGGTGATTCCCATACCTGCGGATGTTGAAATCGTCTCTGGAGGTGTCAAGTCCGGTCCTGTTGAAAAAACTGATCGGACTCCTGATTGGTTAAACTTTGAAATCTATTCATTAATGGGATGTCATTTGAATTTATTGATGGACTTCTATTAAGATTTGGATTTCTTCTATCTATTCTTGGGGTTTGTACATGTTCATTATGTTTATAATGGTTCCTTCTTGGATGTTTAACTACTTCACTGTAACTCCTATTCCTATTGAAGTTAACTTTTTGATTATTTTCCGTATATGTTCTCATTTTATTCTGTTCTACTTGGGAGCTTCTTATATTATTTCGAAAATTGTATTTTGGTTCATTAAAATTCCTTTTGTAACTTTCTTTTCAATAATTTACTTCATTTGGGAATGTACGCTTGTTTCGATTTTCTTTAATATATGTCCT